GGACTCAATAGCAGTGGGTTTCATCTGGTTTTATATATGTTAGACACAAGTCCTTTATCAAGTAAGTTTTCTGCAAATATTTTTTCCCAGTCTATGACGTGTCTATTCATTGGTCCACCAGTTACTATATGATCTGGCTCCAGCCATTTCTCCAACCTCACCTCCTACTATTGTCCCTCTTGCTTCACTCTACTCTAGTCATTCTGGTGGCTTTGCAGTCACTTCTTGTTCCTCTCTGCCTAGACCACTCTTTCCCTAAATAGTCACATAACTTAGTTTCTTAATTTCTTCAAATCTCTGCGCAAATGCCACCATTATCATCAGAGGCTTTTTCTTGTTATCTTTTAAAAACAGCCACATAATCTTCATTAACCTCCCCCTCAGCTCTATTCCCCATTGAGTCACTTTCTAGTTAGAGTGAGCCGTTGTTGTTGTTACGTGCTGTTGAGTTGTTTCTGACCCATAGTGACCCTCTGTAGTGTTTCCGAGGAGCAGCTGATGAGTTTGAACAGCCGATCTTGCAGTTCAAACCGACCTTGCAGTCTAGTGCATTAACCCACTGTGCCACACCAGAGTAAAACTGCCCCATAGGGTATTCTAGGCTACAATCTTTATGGAGGCAGATTGTTAGGTCTTTCTGCCAGGTACCTGCCAGGTGGTTTTGAATCACCAACCTTTTGGTTAGCAGCTGAGTGATTAACTGTTGCACAACTAAGACTCCTTTCATCCCCTTTGCCATGTTTTAGTTTTCTTCACAGCATCGCTATCTGGTAAGGTATATATGTGCTTAATTATTGTCTTTCTCCCCTCACCAGAATACAAGAGCAGGATCTACATCAGTTATGCTCACTACACTTCCCAGAATCGGTAACATTCTGATAAAGGGCAGGCGCTCAACAAATGTTTACTGAATGAATTTTTAACACTATCTTCACTTGAGCTTTTCAAGATGGTATTCCCATTTCCCTTATATACTCTTTTCTGGTCCTCCTACTTCTCAGTCATCTTTTTGTATCTCCACTACCTCTTAAATGGAGGCTGTAATTAGTATACAGGTTTCAGGTATATTCAGGTTAAGTGTTTCCCTAAACTTCAAACTAAAAAAAATCAGTATCTAATGAAAAAGTCTGGGAGACCCTGGGTGGTGCAAACAGTTAAGTGCTCAACTACTAGATGAAAAATTGGTAGTTTAAGTTCATCCAAAGGTGCCTAAGAAGACAAGCCTAGCAATCGATCTCCTTCCAAAAGGTCAGAGCCTTGAAAACCCCATGGAGCAGTTGTTGTTTGTGCCATCAAGATAAATGGAGTCACTTGAGTCGGAATCAACTCTACTGCAATCAGCAACAATGAAAAAACCCCTCTGCAAAGTAATTTACAATGGATTGATAAATTACTGTTGATTAAGTATGGTGCTTTCCTATTTCTAAGAAAGGGATCAGAATATCCAGGCATGACTGGAATGTAAATTACGTAAGTGACTCCAGTTTATCGAAAACAATAATATTAAGTAGGGCACAGTAACTTTTGAGGAGATGGAGCAGAGGTAAAATTATCTGGGCTGATAACCTCAAGGTCAGCAATTTGAAATGACCAGCTGTTCCGCAGGAGAAAGATGAGGCTTTTTGCTCCTGTAAAGATTTACTGCCTCAGAAACCCTATGCAGGGTCGCTATGAGTCAAACCAATTCCACGGCACATAACGACCACCACCAGTTATTATCTATAAAAACTGACAATAGTTAGCATTTATTGACAGCATTCTGCATATAGACACCATAACACCCAATCCACTGCTGTTGAGTGAATTCCAACTTAAAACGACACTATAAGACAGTGTAGAACTGCCCCATTGGGTTTCCAAGGCTGTCCATCTTTAAGGAAGCAGACTGCCACACCTTTCTCCTGCAGAGTGGCCGGGTTTGAACCACTGACCTTATGGTTAGCAATTGAGTGTTTAACCACTGCCCCATAAGAGCCCCTATGGGCACCAAACTAATCACTTAACAGGCATTATTTTATTGAATTATAATTTATATTAAGTGGGTACTATCATCTTGACTTTACAGATGAAGATAAAGGCTTAAATAACAGCACACAAGCAGTTTTTTTAACCTAAGAAAACACCCTGTTGCTATAAGGTTGATTCTGATCAAGGCAACCATGTGTGTTACAGGACAGAACTGCTTCATAAGGTTATCTTGGTTGGAATTTTCACAGGGCAGTTCATCAGATTCTTTTCACAGTGGCAGGGTGGGCTCAAACTGCTAACTTTTAGATTAGTTGTTGTTGTTGTTAAGTGTCATTGAGTCGATTCCAACCCATAGCGACCCTGTGTAGGATTTCCAAGGAGCAGCTGGAGAGCTTGAACAGCCGACCTTGCAGTTCAAACGGCTTTGCAATCTTGCACATTAACCCACAGCGCCACACTATTTGTGCCACTCAGGTTATTTGAACCTACCAACTCTAATATTATAATGAGAAAGCAACGTACTTTCTTTACACAGCAACTCTTCTACAACTTTCTGAAACCCTCATCCTTGCAAAGTTAATTATTTTAAAGTCAATGACTAAATATATATATATATTTGTTGTTGTTAAGTGCCAATGAGTTGGTTCTGACTCATAGTGACAATGAATAGTTCAAACCGAGCTTGTGGTTGAGTTCTTATCCCCTCATAGTGACAATGAATAGTTCAAACCGAGCTTGTGGTTGAGTTCTTATCCCACAGGCCACGCCAGGAATCCATCTCTCGCTCTATATATACGTATGTGTGTGTGTGTGTGTATATATATATATATATATGTGTGTGTGTATATATATATATATTTGTTGTTGTTGTTGTTAAGTGCCGTTGAGTCGGTTCCGACCCATAGCGACCCTGTACAGGGTTTCTGAGGGTGTAAATCTTTACGGGAGTAGAAAGCCTCATCTTTCTCCCATGGAGCGGCTGGTAGTTTCGAACCGCTGACCTTAAGGTTCGCAGCCGGATTCATAACCACTACGCTACCAGAGCTCCATCTATATATATATATATAAGCTTGAACCACCAACCTCACAGTTCAAATGCAGTCTGACGCATTAACCCACAGCACCACACCAGGACTCCTGTATGTGTGTGTGTATAAATTAAATACATATATGTATGTATGTATACACACACACACACACACATATAGTGGTGGTTATGTGCCGTCGAGTCAGTTCCAACTCATAGTGACCCTGCCTAGGATTTCCAAGGCCGTAAATCTTTACGGGAGCAGAAAGTCTCATCTTCTCATCTTTCTCCCGCAAATAGCTGGTAGTTTAGAACTGCAGACCTTGAGGTTAACAGCCTGACTTGTAAGCACTGTGCTACCAGAGGTATGGTGCTGTGGGTTAGTGGGCTGGACTACAAAGTTGGTTTGAACTGCAAGGTCGGCATTCAAGCTCACTAGTAGCTCCTTGGAAACCCTATACTGGGTCATTACGGCCCGGAACCCACTCGGCGGCACTTAACAACATATATATGTATATGTTGTTGTTAAGTGCTGTCGAGCTGGTTCCTACTCATGGCGATCCAGTATAGTTTCCAAGGCTGTAAATCTTTACCGGAGCAGAAAGTTGTATCTTTCTCCTGCTGATCTGTGGGCTGGTGGGCTCGAATTGCAGACTTTGTGGTTCTCAGTCCAGTGCTTATCCTATAGAACCACCGCACTCTCTCCCACGGTTTCTGCATATATACATATATATATGTGCAGGTGCACACACACACATATATTGTGGCAGTATAGTATAAGCACTGGACTGCTAACTACCAGTTCAGCAGTTCAAACCCACCTACAACTCCGTTGGAGAACAATGAGGCTTTCTGCTCCTATAAAGATTTAGGAGTCAGAATCGACTCAGTGGCCGTACGTTTGATATTTATATATGTGGGTTTATATATATATATATATATATATAAAATGAAGAAGCTCAGGTAGCGTCGTGGGTCACGAGTTGGGCTGCTACAGACAAGGTGAGCAGTTCGAATCTATCTGCTGCTCCGTGAGAAAAAGATAAGGCTTTCTGCTCTTGTGAAGATTTTCAGCCTCGGAAACTCTATACAGGGTCGCTATGAGTTGGAACCGACTCCACGGCACACTACTACCTTATTTAAGGAGCGCTGGTGGCGCTGTAAGATAAGCATTGGACTTCAAGGTTGGCGGTTCAAACCCACCAGCCATTCCTCGGGAGAAAGACGAGGCTTTCTGCTCCCATAAAGATGTCCAGCCTCCGAAACCCTATCCAGGGTTGGCTGGTTATATCTATATATGTTGTTGTTGGGTTCTGAATCATAGCCACAGAGTCATAAATATAGTGGTTTGTTGTTGAAGTGCCTGTAGGAGAACCAGCAGCCACTCCTCGGAAACCCTACACAAGGTCGCTCTGGGTTAAAACTGACTCGACAGCACTTAACAACCACAAGCACCATCAAGTCGGGGTTTTTAAGCGCTTTTTTTTCTTCTTCTTCTTCTTCATTTCAACCCTTGCTTTGAAGCTACAAATTTGGCGCCCACGCCCCCAACTGACAATTCCTCTTACCCTGCTCTCCTCATAGGAATTTTTATATAGGTTTGATTTCAGGGTGTGAATTTTGAAACCAGGCAAAACCCCGATCCGTAACGACGTGTTCCACCGCAGAACTAAAATACTGCCCTGTTTCCTAAGCTCCCTCCTTCCCCACCCCCGCGAGGGAAGGAAGTCAGAGACAGTTGACAACTTTCGCATTCCCGGCGCCCCTTCCCCCACTGGGTTCGCAGGGCTGGGAAGCTAGCTGCTTGGGGCCTAAGGCTGGACACTGGTTAAACTCCGAGCTGCCAGTCGCTGCAGCCGGCCTGGGCACTTACCTCTGCTCGGGGTCTGGCCCGGCCTGGGAAGTGTCGGTCGAAGGGTCGGCGGCGCCAGACTTACAGAGCGTAGAGGTCCTCCGGCTTCGCCTCCGCGGCTGGGGCTGCTGCTGCGTCGCCAGCTCTGGATCCATGGCATGGAAGAGGGGGGGTTGGGCGGCGGGGCGGTGGGCTGGGTGCCCGGGAGATCTCGAGGAGCGGGCACCGTGCCCGGCAACTTTTGAAAAGGAGAAAAGTTCCTGTCAGGAGAAAGCTACCGCTGCCATCAACATCGGGGGTTTGAAAATGGCGGCTGCGCAGAGCTCAGCCAATCAGGGAGTAGTAGGCGGTTGCTAAGAGATTTGGAGTCCCGCCTCCACATTCCAAACCCAATGCTCTCAAGTGGATTCTGACTCTGACGGTATTGACCCTATAGGACAAGAGTAGGGTTTCCAAGGCTGGTGTGGCTCTGTGGGATAATGCACTGGACCTCAAAGTCGGTTTGAGCAGAAAGGTCGGCGGTTCAAATTCACCAGCCGCTCCAAAACAACAACAACAAACCTTACCACAGGAAGGAGCTCTGGTTAAGTGCCATTGAGTCGGTTCCCATAGCGACCCTTTCCGAGGAGCGGCTGGCGAACTTGAACCGCCAACATTGCAGTTCAAACAGCTTTGCAGTCTGGCACATTAACCCACAGGGGCACACAGGTACTGGCTTACTTGCTAGACTGTTAATAGCAGAGTCTGCAATTCAAATCTACCAGTCGTTCTTTCTGACTTCAACGCTAAATCCCTAATGCAATGCAAAGAGGAGAGCTACTTTGCTGTCTTACTAGAACCTTTATCGGACATCTTGTGTGGCTCTGTAAGATCGGCATTGGACTGTGAACCACAAGGTCAACAATACAAACTCACCAGCTGCTCCTCAGAAACCCTATACACAAAGTCGCTGTGAGCCGATGGCACTTAACAACAACAACAAGGACCTTTATTACTGGTCAGGGCAAACTCACTGTGCAAGAATTTTAGATCGCTACGTAATTCTTACAGGAGCTCTGGTAGCACCGTGATTAATCAATCAGCTGCTAATCAAAAGTCAGGAAAAAGCTGGAGATGTACTCACGTGTAGATACCCAAACCGAACCCACTATGATTCTGACCCATAGTGACCCTAGACGACATCGGGTTTCCAAGGCTTTGGTAGTGTAGTAGTTACGAATCGGGGTGCGAACCGCAAGGTCAGCAGTTCGAAACTACCAGCTGCTCCGCGGGAGAAAGATGAGTCGTTCGGCTCCCGTAAAGATTTACAGCTTCGGAAACCCTGTTCAGGGTCGCTATGAGTTGGAACCGACTCGACGGCGTTTAACAACAACAATAACAACAAATTTTACAGAGGCAGATTGTCACATCTTTCTTACAGAGGAGTTGCTGCTGGGTTCGGACTGCTGACCTTTTGCTTAGCAGCTAAGCGTTTTAGCCACAGTGCCAATAAGGTTTTTCCTGTAAAGATTATAGTCTTAGAAACCCTATGGGACAGTTTTCCTCTGTCTGACAGGTGTCCATGTGGTACTATAGTATAAGCAGAGGACTGCTAACTAAGTGGTTCAAACCCACCAACTGCTCCTTGGAAACCCTAAACTGGTTCACTTTGAGTTGAAATTTACTCTTTAGCAAATGACTTGAAGGCGCTTAACAACAAACAGCATCACTCTAAATTGGAATTTGCTCTTCAGCAATGGGTGGTGGGAGTAGGTATTTCTTGTATGGGGAGAAGAGTGGTTGAAAGTAATGATCTAAAATAAGGTTTGGTCATTGGCCATATGCACGTGAAATTATTCATGCTATACAAAAAGATAATTATCCAAAGTATAGGAGATATGTTCTCTGAGCTGTCTCTTGTGAACTACAGGAATCTAATTATGTACTCTCTCCTCTTATCCAGTCAGAAGAGACGATTGCTCCTTAGCAAAACATAATGAAATTGTCTGTATCCTCTAATTTTAAGATAGCAAATGACAGCAAATTTATCAATTTTCCCCCCATTTAATGTTTTTATCAAATATCAGTTGAATGTATGTGGATGGATTTTCTCCTGGGTTCTCAATTCTGTTTCATTGACCTATATATCTTTTGTTGTACCAGTACCAGACTGTTTTGATCACTTTGGCTGTGTAGTAAAATTTGAGACCAGAGAGTGAGAGACCTCCAACTTTATTCTTCTTCTTAAGCAATGCTTTACTCTTCTGAAGTCTCTTTTCTTTCCATATAAAGTTAGTGATCAATCTTTCTGTGTCTTCAAAGAATTATGTTGGAATCTGGATTGGAATTGAGTTATATCTATAGATTGCTTTGGGTAGTGTTTGGGTAGTGTTAATATTTTCACAATGTTAAATCTTCCTATCAATGACCATGGTACAGTCTCCATTTTTGTAAGTCTCTTTTGGTTTCTTTTAATAGTGTTTTATAGCTTTCTTTGTATAGATCCTTTGTTTCTCTGGTTAGATTTGTTCCTAAGTGTTTCATATTTTGAGTGGCTATTGTAAATGAAATTATTTTCCTAATTTCCTTTTCAGAACTGTGTTTATTATCATAGAGGAATTCAACTGATTTTTGTATATTGATCTTGTACCGTGCCTCTTTCCTAAATCTTTCAAGGAATTCCAATAATTTTCTTGCTGAGTCTTTGGAATTTTCTAGTATAAAATCATATCATCTGCAAATGGAGTTTTACTTTTTTTTTTTTTTGCCAACTTTGATACTTTAAATTTGCTTTTATTACCTTGAAGCTCTAGCTAAAACTTCTAACACAATTTTGAACAGGAGTAATGATAAAGGGCATCCTTCTCAGGTTACTGTTCCCAAACAGGAATAATGTTGGCTTTCGGATTTGTGTATACACTCTTTATTAGGTTGAGGAATTTCCCTTCAGTTCCTACTTTGTTGAGCGCTTTTATCAGAAGTTTGTCAAATGCCTTTTCTGCATCAGTTGATATAGTGATGTGGTTCTTTGTTTTGTTTTATGTGTATGATGGTGGTGGTTGTGTGCCACTCAGTTGATTCTGACTCATAGTGACTCTGTATAGGGTTTCTATAAATCTTTACACAACAGAAAGCCTCATTTTTGTCCTGCAGAGTGACTGGCAGATTTGAATTGCTCATCTGGTTAGTAGGCCAGCTTGTAATCAGCTATGCTTCCAGAGCTCCATATGTGGTGGATAACTTTCATTGTTTTTCTAATACTGAAGCCTCCTTGCATCCTTGGTATGAATCCCACTTGGTCATGAGGAAATAAAGAAATGGGCTATGGCTGCCATTTCAATAATCCAACTGTGATACCCAGACCTGGGATAAACACCTTTTTTCTTTCTATAGTTCCGTTTTCCTGTCCCTCTTTTCTGCTATTATATTCTTTTTTTCTAATTTCTAATTTTTTTTTATTTCTCTTTTTATTGTTGGTTCATTGTTTGTTTATTCTGTTTCATTTGTATGTGTGTATGTGAGGGGTTTTTCCTTCATTGCTACTCAACAGAAGACAGCAACAGTGCTTATGTAGCCCAGTCACAGCCACATCTCCTACAGTTCCATCCACTGGGAAAGAGCCAATACTAGCTCCTATACCACCTGAACAGTGATAGGCCACAGCCAACACCCGCCAAACCCACCCTAAACTGCAGTGCATGACTGGAGAATAGTGTACATACTTCCATTATCTAACTATACCCACAGGAGACAGTTGATAAGAGCCTAAGAAAACATCAATATACAATCATTAATTAAATACAAATATGACAATACCACAATGTCCTGGAAACAACAGACAATTGTAGTTCACACTAAGAAACAAGAGAGAATGGCTCAAACAAATGACCAAGATGCAGAGCCAGGAAAATGTTTCTGAAAGAGAAAAGGTAATGGAACTAACTGAAAAAAGTATATTATTTAGGTACCTTTGAAGGATTGACAGAAATATCAAGGAAAGAAAGAACACAAAAAAGTACTTAAGAAGAATTCAGGAAAACACTACAAAAAAAAGAAAACCCCACAAAATTTTGAAAACTTTGAAACAATACAAAACCTGAAATTAGAAATCCTGAAGATTAAGTATAATATTTCAGAAATGGACAATACATTCATAAAGGAAAAGGATGAGATTAGAAGCAATGGAATCCTGAATTAGTGAGTTTGAAGATAAATCTCTCAATCCTATTAAGCTAGTGAAAAACAACAACAACAAAAAGAATGAAAATATCCAAATAAGATATTATCTCAAACCAGCATTAATAGCGAAGTTCAAAAGACAGAAAATACCAAATGCTGGCAAGGTTCTGGAGAGACTGGGACCCTCCTACATTGCTGGTGGGACTATAAAATGGTTCGATCACATAATGCTGAGTGAAATAAATAAATCACCAAAGGACAAATATTATATGAGACCACTATTATAAAAAAGTCAAGAAAAGGTTTTCACCCACATACACAAAACAAAGACGTTAAGACAAAATCATTAATAAATATAAGAAAAGTAATTTTTAAATGCTAAAAATTACAATTTCATGGTAAAAACAATTTAAAATTTGTATGTTTTTAATGGTGGTGTGGGTGGTTGTGTTCCACTGAGTCCAGTCTGATTCCTAGTGACCCTGTATTAGGTTGCTGAGGCTATAAATCTTTACAGGAGCAGAAAGCCTTATTTTTCTCTTGCAGAGAGACTGGTAGATTTGAACTGCTGATGTTGCAGTTAGCAGCCCAGCTGGTAATCCCTACACTCCTTATATTTTAAATAAATAGCCTCAGAATATGTAAAGCAAAAATTGACAGAGCAGTAAGAATAGACAAATCTACAATAATAATGAAAAACATAAACTCTTATTAAAGTAATTGTTAGTCAAAATTTGGACAATAAATGACATAGACCTAATGGATATTTTGGAATCCTGGTGTGGTGCTGTGGGTTAATGTACCAGACTGCAAATCCATTTGAACTGCGAGGTTGGCGGTTCAAGCTTACCAGCTTCTCCTACCTATAGGTCAAAATTGACTCGGCAGCACTTAACACAACAACAACAACAATGGATATATCTGGAGTCCTGGTGTGGTGCTATGGGTTAATGCACTGGACTACAAAGTCAGTTTGAATCTAAAGGTCAACTGTTCAAGTTCACCAGCTACTTCTTGGAAATCCTATGTATTGGAACCAACTCAATGGTACTTACAACGAACAAAACAACAATGGATATATCTATATCTTTATATATAAAGGAGTCATGGTGTGGCACTGTAGGATAAGCACTGCACCACAAAGTCAGTTTGAACTACAAGGTCAGTGGTTCAACTCTACCACT